CATACACACATATAAACACACACCAGTGTATATGACTATACATTAGTTTCTGTGAGTTTTGTTCAGTAAAATAGTTTTTATACACATATATTCTCAAATGTTTATTGTTAAAAGTGATTATTATCTGGAATACAATTATATTGGAGATGAATATGTAAAGGTGCTTACTTTGTATAAGCATTTATTCCTGTAATATTTTTGTAAGGAAGATTATAATTTAACTTGTTGAGATTCACTCAAGTGAAGATGGAAACTTATGTGCTAATCTACTGCATTTTCACTTTTCACAACTAATGCCATGCAGTATTAAAAAAGTTCATCTTCATACATTAAAAAAAAATACATCTTGATTTATTCTAAAAAAGATGTTATATTAAGTTTCAAATACATTAATAGTACATCTATGCCCATTTCTGTCAGAAACTCACAAAAATATGCCATTTAAATAAATTACTCATCAAAAATATTGATATGTATTCTCGTCGCGCTGGGTGGATGTTTACACAGAATGCTCAGAATGTTGTATTGCATTTCTACATTTTCATATGCTGGCCTGTGGCATCATAGTTAGCTCCTCTGTCCTCTAGCAATATACTGTGTAGAATGAAAAATAGTGAGAAACTAGAGGTATGCAGGAATGCGAGAATGTATTAATTAAAAGTGAGCTTTTCATGAAGGTAAAATAAACTAGTAAAATCTAGGTGTTCTGGAAGCACAATCAAAGTCAGTGAAGTGGGAAGGAATATTAGTCATTAGATAACAGACATACAGTAAGTTCCGTTTAAAGAAAAGGTATATAAAATAAGCAATAAAAAGAAAAAGGGTTAAGGGCTTGGAAAAGTAGAATCGCATACTTGGAAACTTGATAAAATCAGAAAAGACAAGTGGGATATGATACAAAGTAGTTGCATGAAAAATTGGAGACTATCAACCACCACACGAGAAGTGTGCCTCAGCCTTCCTGAGTCCCTAGGGCTGTCCTTCTCTTTGGTCATCAGTGTCGCAGATAGGCAGGGGACTAGAGGGCAGATTATGCTATCGTGTAAAGGGAGGCCTTCTGTCTATCCTTGCAATATGCGTTTCAGCCTTTACCCATATCATTAATACATTAGGATGACCACCTAATTACTTACTGAAGATGGATATAAAAATTATTATTTTCTCAGATATAAGAACTTTGTAATAAATCCTTTGTCTTAAAGGATTTTGACTTAAGCTGTGACTACAATCATGCCCCTCAACATTTACTGTACATTAACATTCTTCTTGGGCTCATCACAAACTCTTCTCAAGCTGTCACTATAATCTCTGAAGAGATTTAAAAAAATTTTTTTATAATATCTAAACACTTGGTTTTGTATTACCTTAGTAATTCTTTATCTTATATTGGTTTTGGTGTATCTCAATAACCCTATGAGGTACTTCCATTTTCAGATGTGCTTTACTTGAATTATCACTTTTATTTTCTGTGTGTCTGTGTGTGCATGTATGTGTATGTACACTTGTGAACACACAAGGGACCACTACAAATTTTAAAATCCAGAAAGTGTATATATGCACATTTATTTAGACTGTATGCTGTTCAAATAATTTGAGAAGCTGGGCTGTCTGAAGAGGGGTGGGTGTGTGTGTGTGTGTGTGTATATATAAAATCAAGATTGGAGGAACTCAACAACTGACATTATAGATAGCTCAACTTCCACTGGTAAAGTGTGGAGAGTTGAAAAGCTTACTGTGGAAGGTTAAATACTACACTCTTCACGGTGGATTACATCTCAATATCACAAAGATAAAAATCCTTACCAAAGGGCCAGTTGTTATTGTTGTTGTGTGCCATCAAGTTTCTTATGACTCATAGTGACCCTATGTACTGTAGCTCTGAATCTGGCCCTGTCCTGAGCCAGTCTCACTGACTCTGACGCATCTAGTCCCATTGTCCCAGTAACCATGTCAGTCCATCTCATCTTGGGTCGTCCTGTCCTGCACTGTCCCTCCACCCTTCCCAGCATGATCCCTTCCCCAAGGACTGGTTGCACCTTGCCACATGCCCAAAGTCTGTGAGATGGAGTTTCACAATCCTTGCCTCGAAGGAGATCCATAATTTCTCCCTCTCCAAAACACACGTTTGTTCTTCTTGAACAACAACTCTTCTCCAGCACCACAACTCTCATGTATTGATTCTTCTGTCATCCATAGTCATTGTCCAGCTTTCTGGTGCATTGCAAATAAATGTAATGACCATGGCCTGGATAACCTGCACCTTAGTCTCTAGACTGACATCATTGCTCTTTAACATTTTGGAGAGGTCATTGACAGATTTCCCCAGTGAAATTTGTCTTTTGATTTCCAAGAATGTTGATTGTGGAGGTATCCAAGCTGAAATTGTTAACAACCTCAGTCTCATCTCTATACATCATAGTGCTGCCACTTGGCCCAGTGGTGAGAATCTTTGTCTTCTTGATGTTAAGCTTCAATCCATATTGATGACTGCAGTCTTTGACCTTCTGCAGAAAGCACTTCATGTCCTCTTCAGTTTTGACAAGCAAGGTTATAGCACCTGCATAATGCAGGTTGTTGATGACTCTCCAGTCCAAGTGCCACACTCCATAAAGTCCAGCTTCCCAAATGATCTGTTCCATGTACAGATTGAAAAAGTGTGGATACAATACTTCCAGAACACACTCTTTTGCTAATTTTGAACCATGCAATCTTTCCTTGTTCTGTTCTGACAACTGCCTCCTGGTCCATGTATAGGTTTTGTATGAACATAGTTTCTCAATGTTAGCCACACTTTGTTGTGATTTACACAGTCAGATGCCTTTTCATAATCAGTGAAAGGTAGACAATCTTCTGCTACTCTGCTTTCAGCCAAGATCCATCTGACATTGATGACAATGTTTCTAATGTCATAGCCTCTTCTAAAGCCAGCTTGTATTTCTGATATTTCTACTGTACTAGTCATTTTCAGATAATTCTCAGCAGGATTATTCATTTGTGATTTTACTCATATTTTTTATAATTTCCATATTCTGCTGGATCACCCATTTTTGAGATAGTAGTAAATAGGAATCTTGAAGTTGTCAAAGATTTCAACAATAATTCACAATCAAAACCGTTGGTACCAGCCGTCAAAAGAAATAAAAAGATGTGTTGCCTTGGGAAAGTCTAATGTCAAGGACTTCTCCAAAATTAAGGAATAATCAGTCCACTTGTTATGCATCTATGAGCTGGACAGTAACTATGGATGACAAAGAAGACTTGAAACCTTTGCATTGGGGTATTAGAGAAGAGTGCTACATATCCCATGGACTGCAGAAAGAATGTCTTGGAGAAAGTGCAACCAGACTGCTTGAAGGCAAGGATAAAGATGCTTCATCTCACATTCTTTGAGCATTTTGTTGAGAGAGGCTGTTCTTTGAAAGGAACATCATGCTTGCAAATGTGGAAGATCAATGAAGGAGGGGGAGATCCTCTCCATTGACAGTGGTCTCAAGTATGTCAGAGATAACGAGGATGGCGCAGGATAGGACAGAATTTAAGTCTGTTGTTCATAGGTTCTCCATGAGAATACTTGACTTGTTGGCATCTAACAACAGCATGTGTTCTTACGCATGCAAGTGTGCGTGAGTGCAAGCTGTTTTTCTTTGCTGAATATTCTCATTACTTTAACAATATGATTTGATTTGTATGTCTGTTCTACAATAAAGTGATAATGTGAAGATCAGACATCATAACCAAATTTCAGAGTGTTTGGTTTTCCATGCCAAGTTTATAGTAATTGCTATTATTTTACATTATTAAGCCAAAATCTAGTAAATCTTGCAAGCCATTGAAATTCTCTCATCACAAAAATATTAAAAACAATGATGAGAACGTATTTTTTAAGTTTTATATAGCTACCGCATGATAATGGACTTCTGTATTTGAACTACAACAAAAACAAAAATGTTCTTAGTGTTAATATTACCTAGGGCTCAGTGGGAAAAGGATGGACAGTCTCCTCCCATGTGATTAACTGCCTCTGAAAACCTGCTGTCGGTGAGTTCTTTCTCAGTGGTACACAACAAGTTATTTTTTTTTTTGTAATATTGTGATTTTGGTTGTCATTTTATATATTACAGTTTTATGTTATTTTCTTTAAATAATTGCAACCCATATTCTGCAGCCTCAGTTACCTTAACTGGTAATTAAGTCATTTATAGCTGCTTTTGTATACGTTAGGATTGAAACCAGCCGCTGCATTTAGCAGACCCTGCAACATGTTCCCAGAAGCAGTTAATCACATGGGAGGAGATTTCCCATCTATCTCTTAGGGAGTAACTGGTGAAACTGGTGAATTTTAACCTTGTACCTTCAAGATTGCAGCCAGCTTTTTGCTACTAAACCATCAGAGCTCCCCGCATATGTTGTTGTTGTTGTTTTGGCGGTGTACAGTTGAGTTGGAATCAGCCCATAGCTGACCCTCTGGCAGGTTTCCAGACCCAGTTAATCACATGAGAGGAGATTGTCCATTCTTCTTTGTTGTTGCCTGGTGATCTCAAACTGTGCCTTCAGGATTGCAGTGCAGCTTCTTGCCACTAGAGCTCCCTGTGTAGATCATGATAAATCTTTGAAACCTCTCTTTCTTTCAGTTCTTTTTCTTCAAAGAAAGAATTACTCTCTTGGCATTGTTAGGAATAAATGAGAAAATAAGGATATATTTCTTAATGAGGTATCTGACACAGAATTGTTAGATGCAGTATTACAGTAACCATGACTGTTACTAGTATCTTGATCATTCAGGCTAATCTGTTAATTATTTGACACAAGAGCCAGATATGCCATTATATTAACTTGAGCGTTTTAAGCAAAGTGCTTCTGTCTCTTTTTTCCTGTTCTGTAAAAAAGAATCTTTGAGCCAAGGTGACCGTAAGTTCCTTTTGGATCTGAAATCTTATGGTTTTATTCTTAGAGTTTTAGCATACTGTAACCACTAAATGAATTGTACTTGTTTCTTTCAGTTTGCGGGGACATCCATGGACAGTTCTTTGACTTGATGAAGCTCTTTGAAGTGGGGGGATCTCCTGCCAACACCCGCTACCTCTTCTTGGGGGACTATGTTGACAGAGGGTACTTCAGTATCGAAGTAAGTCTTCTTTGTTGCTTAACTGCTTATTAAATTGCAGTGTGGTAGATCTTCCCAGCTGGCTAACTGTCATGAATAATAAAGAATTTTGATACTTATTGTTATATTACAGATTTTCTTTTTCCATTCATTCCTGTTGTCTTTTAGTGATTGATGGTGTCAAGAAATGGTTAGTTGTAAGCCTTAAGCCTTTTATACTTTGTATAATTGTAAAAATTCTGTCTTATATTAATGCTTTCTCTGGATCTGTTTAAAAACTGATCAAAGTTGGTATGATAAGCAGGGATATTTGTATGTTACAATTATGAGTTAGTACACTGTCTTTGTAAACTCATAGAAAATTTTACATGTAAGTTTTTTGTGTATATGTATACACTCTTATCACCTGCTATATTTTGTATTTTTTACATTATATTTTGTATTTTTTGCCATATTTTGAGAGTAATTCTTCAAGCTCATTAATGAATCAAATCAGATAAAGCTTGAGAAGAGGTTCTTCTCTATCTCCACCTTCATTTGTTTTATAAATAGAAATTGCATTTTAATTGAAGGCAAAAATATTATTTTTTGTGCTCTTGTACCAGGAATGGCATCTCATATACATTTAAATACTTATTTGGAGAAATGCTTTGAAATGAGAGTATGTTGTAAGAAGTCAGGGTTCTTGCTATCATAGATGACTCTGTGAATTACATTTAAAAAGACTTAAAAGAATAAAAATTACTCTTAAAAATAGAAATTTTCTAAGCCAGAATCATACTTTTATAATAATGGCAAAAAAACCAGACTTTATTTAAAATTTACATTACCATGTTTTATTTGTTATAAGAATATTTAAATTTAAAATACATGTCATTATCACCCTTACGCATTTGTTTTTACTCTTTTCTATATTATTTTTATTTTGGGTGTTCTCTCTATATACTGAAAATAATATAGAATATTAAATATTTCTACCTTTTGCTTATAATTTCTAAATTTAAGCATCATAAATTTATTAATTATTCCTTATGAGGAAAAGAGGTAGTGGTGGTGTGTTATCCAAGATAAAAAAAAGAAAAGTTTTGGTATTTCTTCTATTTGGTGAAAAAAAGAGGCATTATTGCTTAAGTGTAATACAATGTATGTACTATGATTTGGATAATAGATAATGCAAAGAATTAATATGGAACCTTGCTCTCCAAAAGTCTCAGTCTATATAGGAAAGTATAATAATGAAAGTCTGAATGTCAATGACATTCAGTTTCCTAATTTGACTATTTAAATCTTGTGATAAATGATGGAGATTCAGTCTTTTGGAAAACACAGAAAAGTAAGATTTTAATCATGTATGCATTTTGGGAAGATAGATGCAAGAATAAGTAATATTTAACTAAGTAGAAAGTTTAAAACAGAGTACAGAGAGAATGAAGTTAGTAAATTAGTTTTTGGACTAACTTGACCAGCTTGACAGGCAGGGAAGGAAGATGGTATATACTTGCTTTTTAATGTTTTTTAAGTAAATTACTTCCTTTCCCTTCTTTTGTTCCCTGTCTTCTTTCTTCTGTGATACATAGATGGATAACAGTAATGTCTGCAATCTTTACATTTACAGTTCTGCGATATTAGATATGGTCATCCTACTTTTCAGCTATCACCATTTCCATTTTTTCCTGGCATCTCCCAGGAGTACACACACACCCCACAATACTCTCACTTAATGTAGTTTTGAAAAAGAGAAAATTTTCCCCGAGACAAAGTCCATTGATTGAGAAATCAAAGTTGAGGAGACCCAGCATGATAGTGGGAACCTAGGGTTGTTCAACCTCTTGCTCTGGAGTGCATGACTTCATTCCAGGAGAACATCCCCCTTCAGTCATTGTGTCCTCAAATTAAATTAAGGTACAAAGGGCAACAGAGAAGAGAAGGAAATACTGCCTCATTTGAGAGTATTTACAAAAAGTTACACTATTGCTTTATTGCATCCTATGTGATAAAATTGGTTGATATGACGATAGGTGATTCCATTACACAGTGTAGTTTGAAAATGAATTAAAATAATGGTTGAAGGTGGTAGATTTCTGCAGCTTTCCTTAAATTATGTTCATGTTGAATTTAAATTTTGATAACTTTTAACTTTCTCATTAATTAACATTCATAGTGCTCCTAAGTGGGTTTCTAAGGATGAGTGAAATAAGAGTGCTGTGTTCTTTGAAGTTTACCATGAAAACGAAATTTCCCTGTTGCAGGTGGTTATTGCTATCAGGCAAATGGTGAGGTTTTGTTAGAACTTGTTTTGTTGTTTTTTGTGTATTTTTTTTTTTAATGAACCACATGTGTGATATGACTTAACTTGTATTCATATTTAGTCAAAAGCATTAACATTTTCCCCCTTTTCTGAAATAGTTTGCACTAACTCACATATTCCAAGCAACATTATTTTCCTTTTTAATTAGACTAACTACATCTGTGAATAATACTCTTCCCTTATTTTATCTGCATTTGTTTACCTTTGGTTGATTTAACTTCTGCTTTTCTGAGTTCAAACTATGTGACATTTTCTAGGTTCTCTCTTGTAGCAACTTTTTAGAACTGTTTCATAAAAAATGCATATCAATAATCACTAACTTGTTCCATAAATATCTTTCATCTACAATTAAACTATATATTTGAGCCATTGAATTTTTTATGTTTTATGCACTATGTATGTTTTCATGTAAAAGCAAATTATCAAAGATTCAAAACAGATATGAATGACATTAAATATATGTGTCATAGGACCTTTAATAAGGCACTTTGATGGCCTCTTGGGTAGAGAGCTGTGCTGCCCACCCAAAGACAAGCAATTTAAATCCACTTGCTGTCTGTGGAAGAAAGATGATCATTCTCTAGTTTGATGTAGAGCCTCTGAAAACCTGGAGGGTCATCTATGACTCTGTTCCAACTCGACAGCATTGACTTGTTGTTTTGATAAGGATATTTAGAAATTATAGGCTATATGTATCAGAGTCCAGTTAGCCTAAAAAGGTCTCTGAGTTGGAATATAGCTCAAGGACCTTTCCACAAGTGCTAATGAAGAGTTGACAGAATTAGAGGGCCTCATATGTAAAATTAGTTCATTTTTATTAGACTGTAACCTTTGAGAAGCTTTGGGGTGGCTCAGGATGCTATCACATTTAAAAGTAGAGCAACATTCATATAAAATATGATTCTTAAGAATACTTTGAGAGTTTTCTTTTTCAGCTAAGGAGATTAACATGGTCTTTATGCTATAAAGTATATAATTTATGTAAATGAACTTTAGTCCCAACAAATCTGCAAGAACTTTGTAAATTTCCTCATTTAATGAGTGTGGCAACAGATTCAAAAAGCAACACACAAAAGCATCACACAAATAATTAATAGCCTTGTTGGGATTCAAAGTTACTGCTCTTTTCATTGACCCATGGTTTGATATATATTCATTTACTCATATCACATCAAAGGAACATTGTAGTACTGCAGAAACTGAGACAGAGCGTAGGCCAGAGGAACATTCCCATAACACATGCAGACTTATATACAAATCCCTCTGCTCCAATTATGTAACCAGAAGGTAAAGAATGAAATATAAGTATAATTATAAAATATTCTATTGTATGATACTATTGGTAGACAAAAGCAAATCTCAAATTCAAAACCTCACTTAAGAACTTTGTTTTGTAGTATATACTGTTTTCAGGCTTCAAAGGTTTTTGATTGATCTTAGTAATTGAGGGCTTTGCTAAACGCATTCTCCTTTGGTTATCCTTAGGGAAAAGGAACACTTAGGTTTCATTTTTATCAAATTAATTCTGAAATAAAGTTCAGATGTCCTAAGTTTCTTTTGAGGTAGTTGTAGGTAATAGCATGCATAATGTAAAAATACCATCTGAGCTTCACTTTAGGTTGTTGTTGTTATTTGCCATTGAGTACCTTTAACTCATAGCAACCCCGTGTGCAATAGTTCAGAACCCTGCTCTATCCTGAGCCGGTCTGATTGATTTCAACATGCCTAACCCCATTACTCCAGTTACTATGTCAGTCTATCGCATCCAGGGTCTTCCTCCCCTGTGCTGCCCGTCCACCCTTCCAGGCATGACATCCTTCAAGGACTGGTCACTCCTGGCTACAAACCGAAAGTTTGTAGGACAGAGCTTCAAAACCTTTGCCTTCAAGGAGAAACTTGGTTTCACACCCTCTAATACAGGCCTGTTTGTTCTTTGGTTGTCCATGATATGTTCAGTACTCTTAGCCTATGATTTATTAAAAGCATTTTTTTAAAGAAAAAGAGGAGTTACAGTGAGTCCAGGGGTCTCTAGAGGTGCGTGTTCCAGCTCTCAGTTCCTAGCTAAAGAGTTAGTAGTTGAAATCCACCAGAAGGTCCCCTATAGAAAAGATTCTACAGTTTGCTCACATAAAGATTACATCTTAAGAACACCTGTGAGCTGATTCTAATCTATTTTAAAATGTTACTATATGTTGAAATTATCACCTTGATGATACCTAAAGATAACAGAGTAATGCTCACTGTGTATCCCTGCAATATATAAATAGAATATATTTAATAAAAAATAATGATTTCAAGATAAAAATAAAATTTGGGTAGAATGTTACATACCCATCTTATTCATAATTTTAAAAAAAATCAAATCTGTGACAGTTTAAACTGTTCCAGTTCATCTCAGTCCTCCTTTGGGTTTCTAAGGCTGTGAATCTTATCTGGAGGAGACTGCTTTATTTGATTCAGCAGAGCAACTGGTATATTTGAACTGTCAGCCTTTCAGTTACCCGCCTGCTACACCACCACCAGGGCTCCATTGTTCTTGTTAGTTATTCCTCAGGGAGCTCTGGTGGCTTAGTGGCAAGGGGTTGTGCTGTAATTCCGAAGGCATGCAGTTCGAGGCCACCAGCTGCTCCATTGAAGAAGAATGGGCAGTCTCCTCCTGTGCAATTAAATGCCTATGAAAACCTGCCAGGGAGGGTCAGCACTGGGTCAGTTCTGACTCTATGGTACACACCAACAACAACAACTTCATTTAGATATATAAATATATCTATATGACCTGACACAGAGCAGTTAGAGATTTATTGAACTGTTTGATGGCTCACCGGAATAATGGGGCATTGACATATATTAGCACATCATGAGGGCCTCAGGTATCACTTAAAAAAAACATTTGGCCACATTTCCAAAAGTCATGTTAGCCACAAAAACAAGGTAATATCAATAATTATAAATTCATAATTAGGAAACCAGTTACAGTAACATACATGTTTTAATCCTAACACATTAATTTTATTTGCTGTCATGACATGGTTGGAGAAGGTATGTTGCTTGATAACACAATAATACCCACTCTTCAGATTATTAGTATTTTTCCAAAATTTAGACTATATTTATAAATATATTTTTCAATCATTAATATATTATCAAGCAAGCAAAAAGAGATGGTTGTTCTTAAAAAGACAACTGGTTTTGCCAGTAGTTTTTTTCTTAAGATACTCTCCATTTTATCTACTAACTGTTGGAGGATATAGTATTATAAGTGTAACAAGATGTTTGTGGTTTCTTCTGATTTCAATAACTAGAATCTGACTTAACAAGCTTTATTTCAGAAGATAAGTTTTATAAACATAAAACTTAAACCTACTTGTTTTAAGAGGAGTATTTTTTTTGTTCTTAGAAGGTTCTTAATAAATGCCACTTGAAAATAATGAAACTGATAACTATTTCAGTGATCTAGTTATCTAAATGCACATTCCAGAAAGATTGTATCAGTGTAAGTTTAGTCAAAACCTAGTGAAAGTACAGCTGAAGATCATTTTCACACGTACTGCAATGCCCAAGTCACTACATTGAAAGCCATTAGCTATTCCTATACTGAAATTGCCTAACTTTCATTTCAGTCTTATTTATACAACAAGAGCATTAAAGCTATATATATTAATAATTTGGAAATACAAAATTTGGTTGAGAGAATAGTGAATTAGCAAAGGTAAGGATTATCATACATAATAGTGACATGGTCTGAGTCAGTTTGAGCTTTTGTCAGTGTTGATCCAAATTATGTCTTGTTTGTCTCATGTCCTCATATTTATATTACCTGAGTTTTACAATAACGTATGTGCATAGTGTTGGTATTTGTTATTGTTTGTTTATCTTTGTCTTCTCACATTCCTATACCAAAATAATTTTCTTTTTACTAGTCTTTTCATTCAGGCTCCTTGTTTATTTCAGTTTCTAACCAACCTTTTCTTTGGCAGGCTACACGAGTTGTCTTCTGAGAACGACCTTCAGTCAGTTTTTTCCTCAGTCTGTGCAGCTACTGAGTAATAGTTGTTGTTGTTAGTTAGAGTTGAGCTAACTCCATTTCATGAAACCACACTCATAACAGAATAAAATATTTCCTAATCCTGTGCCATCTTCACAGTAATTGGTAGGTTTGTATATCCTAAATGTGTGTGTGCATTTCAGGTCTGAATAAACCTTGACTTTTATCAAAGTACTATTTTTGATTGGTTGTCAACAGCCTCCCTAACAAAGCCTTAAATTTTGGAGACTTTTGGTCACAGTAGCATGTATGGTTTCATTTCTTTGAGAAATAAGAACAATAAAACACATAAAGAAAAATATTTACTTTTATACTATTTTTATGTTTTCTTCCTCAGTGTGTGCTCTATTTATGGGCCTTGAAAATTCTTTACCCAAAAACACTGTTTTTACTTCGTGGAAATCATGAATGTAGACATCTAACAGAGTATTTCACATTTAAACAAGAATGTAAGTATACATTAAGCTTATTATTTTAACATTATAAGGGACAAGTCATTTTAATAGCTACTTAGGGCACTGGGCTTTATATTACGTCAAGTCAAAAACTTTAAAATAACAATAATTTTATATTTTTCTTTATTTTAGTTAATGAGTAGAGGGATAATTCAAAATTTATGTAATTATTGTGTATTCAGTAAAGTGATTTAAGAGTTTGTATTATCTAATGGAAGAATTTGATGATTTTTCAAGGCATTTTTAAAAAAATGTCTGAATGTTTCTTTGTAGGATACTGATGCTGCCCTTTCTTCTTCCATAATTTGAGTCTATGCCTCTACTTTTGGATTCAGTAGATTTACTAGAATTTCTTGGATTCTGTAAAATTAAAGGTTACTTCTGCCTTTATAGATAAAAATGGGAAGTACTCCATATGCATTCCGTTTTCCTTCACTCTTCCCTTTTTTCTTTATATTTTCCATTGAAACATCATTTACTTTTAAATGAAGAATAAAGATTCCCCCACTGAAGACATTAACTGTAAATGGATAATAGAAAAACCAATGTGTAAGGTAATGGAAATTACCTTAGCAACCTTGTTCCTTCCGATCTCCTTTTCTCCAAGATCATTGAAGGGTATCAGGGAGATTTATGGCCATCTTTCCCTTGGTCAGTTTTATTCCAGGTGTTACTAGTAGTTTTGTGATTTATTTGTAAGTATGTTGGTACTGTTGTGTGCCATCAAGTCTTCTGCGACTCATAGCAACCTTATGGACAATAGCCCTAAAATCTGCTCTATCCTGTGCCAATCTTATTATCTCTGCCTTACCTACCCCATTACCCCAGTTACTAAATCAATCCATCTCATCTAGGGTCTTCCTCTCTTGCGTCGTCCCTCCACCTTCCCAAGCATGATGTCCTTCTCCAAGGACTAGTCCCACCTTGCAACAGGTGATATAGCAAGCATATATATAGAAAAGTTTTCTCCTGTGTTATATAAAAAGCTATTTAAAATTTTAAAATCTAGATTATCACTAAATTATAAAAGCAATAGTTATTAGAGCTAGTATGTAATTCTTAAAAAAACTCTGAAATTTTACTATGTGTCATGTTATGCTAGTAATAAAAAAACACAGTCTTCACAAGGAAACATTAATGTCAATTATTTCAATGAAATGATCTTGACTATAAAATTATAAGGTTAAAGAGTTGCTTCATTTATTTCTATTTTTTCTTTGATGATAATTCAAAAGGTAAAATAAAGTATTCAGAACGTGTATATGATGCCTGTATGGATGCCTTTGACTGCCTTCCACTGGCTGCCCTGATGAACCAGCAGTTCCTGTGTGTACACGGTGGTTTGTCTCCAGAGATTAACACTTTAGATGATATCAGAAAAGTAAGTTATGTTATTTTCCAGGTTTAATCATTCTATGTGCTTAATCCATAAGCAGAAGACATTAGTTGCCTTGCCTATATCAGTAAATTTCACTCTTTAAATTAAAATAATCTGATATGGGTATGAATATGTTCTTTGTCTTTAGTAAGGAAGGTACAGTAATACTTGATAGAGTTCTTCCATGTGACTTAGTTTACTGGAAATAGAAAATATTTTATTGTGCCTGCAGTTGTGTATATATACACCCTTATGTGTAACAGTTGACTTTTTAAAAGACTTTTCTTGATCTAACTTAACATTGCTATTACTATTGTTTGGGACTCTGGTGGCATAGTCCTAAAGAGTTGTACAGCCTGTCCAAAGGCACATGGTTCGAAGCCACCAGCTGTTCCATGGGAGAAAGATGAGCATTCTCCTTCCATGCTATTTACTGCCTCTGAAAACCTACTGGTGTGTCAGCTAGGTGTGACTCAGTTGTTTTGGGCAGCTAAAGAGATGAGTTACTTTGAATGTTGAAGACAATTGTGTTACTTTCATAGGAAAATGTAACAATACAGGATTGTTTCTGTAGTTGAAGTGATAATATTTTGGGTAGTGGTTTTTATAGAGAACTGCACTGCTAACTGAAACACCATGCCTTCCTATTGGTCTGCTTGCTGTTTCTTGGGGAAAAGCTAAGCCATCTCCTCTCTTGCAAAACTTACTGGTCAGCCATAAGTTGGTCTCAATTATTTTTAGAAGCTTATTGCATTTTAAAGAAAGATATATTTAGGAAACTAAAACTTTACTAAATAGAGTCAAATTTTGCCACATGACAGAACAGAGGTTTCAGGACTATAGGTGTATTAATAATATTTTATCCTCATTTCTATTAGAAATAACATGATTTTTAATTTTTAACCCAACATAAACAGGTACATATGATCAGTATTTCTTTCCTGCTAGTTCTTTGTGCATGTGTGCAGTATACGATGCATTACACATTTGCCATTGCTGTTCTACAACACACAGCACATTAACAGGTGCTCAGTATTTAAAGTAATTCAGAGACGTTATACAGAGATGTAGTCGTGCAGTTCATGGAACCTTTCACTTTGTACAAGAATGTGATCATTTCATTCTTCCACAATTTGGTGGGCCTTTTTTTTAAAGTACCTATATGTTCCATTATGAATTACGTTGCTGCTGCTGTTGTTGTTATTATGTGCTAAGCAGCCAGAATTTATTCATAGCCGACTCCAGAAGGATTTTCAAAGGCTGCCGATTGTCTCTTTTTCTCCCAAAGGCAGCAGGTAGATTCTAAATGCCTGCCTTGGGTTGGCAGTACGACTCCTTACCTACTGTGCCCCCAGAGCTCCCTCACGAATTAAGTAGATCTTTTTAAAAAAAATAAATTCTCTGACAATATGCAAGACTTACTCTCAAGCATGTTTCAAATACTATGTTCCATTTTCATTTTTATCACTGAGTTCTAACAATAAGCCATAAAATATTAGTTAAGTTTATATTTTGCCATATATCAATTAAGGTTTCCACTGCACTTACTCTAGTAAATGAATAATGTATTTTAATTTATTTTCACAGTAGAAGGTATTAATTTTTTTGCATTTGATAATTGGCTGACGGTGCATTCAGTTTTCTGGTTGCCTTGCCAAACCTTTGATTTGAGGGTCACAGTTCCGGAACGTCTCCCTCTTCTGCTCTCTAACCCTAAGAAAGTTCTTGCTGCCTCAGAAAAAAAATCTACATTTTTATGAACAAACATTATTTTTCTTGGATGTGTTATTACACAAGCATGAATTATTTAAATTTCTTAAACAAATTACAAGTCGAGTGAGCAATGAATATTTTATGGCTAACATAAAGGTCAGAATATAGAGGATCTTGTCTTATTGAAGTTTTTAATTGGGGATTGAAAATAGGAAATAACATTTCATCCTTTTTTAGATATTAGAGAAATGTGGTTTGTTGTAATTGAACTGTTAACTTAATTATCTTGCATATTCAAGCTAAAGTAGAGAATTTGTTTGCTTGTCAGTTTGATTTATTCACCTTTCTTTACGGAGTTTATTTTAAAAAAGTATTGCCTATGAAGAACATAAATTCTTACTGAGTTTCAGAACTACTCTATGGTCTGTTGGTTGGTCTTGTTTTTGCTTTTTCCAGGAAGCTATATCAAAGATCTTTAAATATAGTTAAACCAAGATAAACTAAAGACTAAAGATAGTGATGATGTTAAAAATTGTTGATGACATGTCATTTCCAGTTATTATATTGTTCATAACCTTCTCGATGGACTAGTTTAAATTTAAATATGACTTTGTTTAACATTTGTAACTGGAAAATAGATTCCATAAGAGGGCATCCTTCAAAATTATAAAACTTTATGCTATGAAAAAAAGAATGATTCACTTGAGTTTAATTTCCTAGTTAATTGTTACTGTTTCTTTGTAACCATTAGGAAAACTGCCATAGGCTGTCCTTTAGTTAAAAGCATAGAAGTTACTAAATATCCAAAGTATTGTATCAATGACAAACCCATGTGCCTTTATGCACAATTCTGGTATAGCAAGTATTTTCTCTTAAAACAAACATTCACTTTTTCAAAATCATATTGGTAATCATAAAACCATAAACTGTTCCCCATCCATATTTATAAATCATAACTTCATGAAAATAGTTATAAGAATATACCCAAGTATAAAATAAAATTGGATAGATGATAGATATAGATAGAGATAGAGAGATAGATGTTTCTCTTCCAGAAATGAAGCAGAGATAGATCACATTAGCTGCGAGTGACTAGAATATTTTAATAAAATAAAGATCTGGAAAGAAGAGAAGGCTAAAAAGTGGTAATAGGAAAAGGAAAATAAAGAGGTAAGGGGAAAGGGAGGGGTAAAAGAAAAATTAATTCGTTCATTAGGAGGAAAATTAGAAAGCTGTAAAGTAGATGTGTCAGGAGGAGCGGAGAGGAAATAGGAGGAGAAAAGGGTCTAGAAAAGTTTGCTGTGCTCTTGTAGAAAGAGCAGGTTGGGTACCACACATGGTTAATTTCTTTTAGTATCTGAATTCTGTATTTCCCAAGATTAGTATTTTGCTCTCTGTCTTCTATTTTCCTTAGTTAGACCGATTCAAAGAACCACCTGCTTATGGACCTATGTGTGATATCCTGTGGTCAGACCCCCTGGAGGATTTTGGAAATGAGAAGACTCAGGAACATTTCACTCACAACACAGTCAGGGGGTGTTCATACTTCTACAGGTGAGGATGGAGAATTTGCTTTCTGGAACACATTTTGGTTTAAAACTGTTATAATCTGTGCCATGTGTTTGAGCTCTTGATGATGTTTGTGTATGTTTCCTAGGAAATAAGTATAAATGGAAGGTTTACTTTGAGGGCTGGTTTAAATGGGCTTTTAGCACTCATGATACAAAAATATAAATACACAGAAGAGAGCCAGAAAGTCAGTGTGGTGGTGGTAGTGTTAGAGGGTGGAGCAGCCATTGAAGAAGATAGTAGGACTTCAAAGATAAAGTATTCTAGAATTGTAGGGGGGAAAAACCTAAAACCTGTCTTCATTTTTCTCTCAATTGTGTAATCACACTGTAAATCATTATATATATGTAAAATCTTACATAGGTGCTTTGGTTGTTTTATGGTAAGGAGTTATACTGCCAACCCAAGCATTCATGTCATTGGAATCCACCAGTTGCTCTCCAAAAGAAAAGATTGACAGTCTTCTCCCTTGGTGACATAAAACCTCTGAAACCTCATTGGAGGTTCAGCTGTGATTCATTGCCGACTCAATTGCACATAACAACAACAGTGAGGTTTTTAGAGGCGATTTTTTTGGTACCCTGATAAAGTTGAAAATATATTTATAATATTTTTTTATATTTGTAGGGGCTTTACTTTTTTAAAAAAAATTACAGGGCACATCACACATTTATAACACAGTTGCATTTTAATACATCTTCATAATTTTCCCAGTACATCTCTTAATTTTCCAACTAAGTTCACTTATTATTAGACTTAGGATTTATATGACTATTGCTAAAGTGAGGCAAAAAAGAGTTTATGAAGTTAATGAGAAAATAAATTCTAGACTAGATTTCTTTTTTTAAAATTTAGTTTGTTTATTTTTCATTTCAATGAACATCTACAGAGATTTTGGAATTCCATTCATTCATTGTTGCACCCTTCTTTTTAATCTTAAAATATATCTGATTTTTACTTAGTGTAAATGCACAATTTCAAGCCTGACAGTTAAATGACAAGACTAAAAGAATTCTGTGAGACATAAGTAGACACATATCTTCTATATATAAAAATATATTGATACTACCTTTTAAAAAAATTTTTCTTCTAAATTGATATCTTCTTTGTATATAATGTGAATCAAGTTTTATTCAGACCTAGAACCTTTTTACTTCACATTCTACATTTTTTTTCTATTGGGGAAAAATGCCTTTAACTTACCTTACCTAATGATATGCTTGAGAAGTGAAAATTTAATAACAAATTATTATACAATTAAAATTAAGTAAGTTTAAAATAATAAACTTACTTTTAAACTTACTCTAGACTTATTTACTAGAAATTTAAAATTAAAATTAGTGTTTTGGAAAGTTCAGTACTAAGTCTAATGAGTCTATTTTTATTGAAATGGAGAAGCATAGTATAGTATTTCTGAAATGACTAAGGTTTCTTTTAAATAATTAGTTAATTTACAGTAATCTTTTATTAAAGATTATAAAACTTTTATACAGTGTGATGTTAGATGTTATCAGTGCATTTTAAGACCAAATGGTTTGGGGTTTTCTTTCAAATATGATGTATATCTAATTATACCATTGTTCTTTATAGTTTTTCATTATAGTCTTGGGTTATATATAAGAAAAATGCTATTAAGCAAACACCAAATATATTTATTTTTATATTGAGCCATATTTCATTAATGTCTGATTCATCGTATAGCACTCTTCTGAGTTGGTGGTCTGATTTCTGAGTTGGCTGTTTATAGAAATCATAAATTTAATTAAGTCCCTTACTGAATTTATGTGAAGTTATGGCTTAGATATTATATAATGTAAACATTATTTAAATAACAGTTTTTACTATAAATATTAATAGAAAGTTATATACTCATTTACCAGAAGTTTATAGTACACACTTTTCAGTTTTATCTTGAAAGTACATGTTTGTTTGTTTCATAACCACAGATACATTTGTTTCAGGGATAATGTTCATCAGCTAGATCATTTTAGATTATTTTCTTCTCAACTTAATGATGATTTAGGTAGTCTCAGTAGAGATTCTTAATAGATAATGCTGTTTAGTAAAGACAAACATAAATTATATTGTAGCTGAGTTATCTATATTCACAGCTTATGAATCCCTGACTGTAATGGTACAAAGTCTTGGGTTATATTTTATCTGAGGAGCTTGCTTCTTCTAGAGCTTAATAATCATTTCTTGCCACCTTGAAGGCCTCAAAGCATCCTCCAGTAGTGATGGATAAAGCACATCTAAATGAGCACAAATGAACAATAAAATTGGTAGGGAGACATGGTGGCAGTTGCCAGTTTAACTTATCAGTTATGTTGCACCATACTTGCCATTTTTATTTTGTGTTTTTATATATGTTTTGCATACATCATTTGCTCCACCACCCTATCCATTATCAAACCTACTACCTGGAACATGATTTAAATAAAATTAATTGGAAAAAGTCAGTGAAAATTATTAAGAGTTTTCATTAGATACGTAAGCAGGAAGGAGAGAATTCATAATAACTCCATTTTGCCCTAACGTTACTGGAGCTTTGTGACTTTAAACCAGTGTTTGCATGCTCAGATGCCACTAGTGGACAGGCAAATAATGTAAATACTTGAAGCCATATGAGTTTAGGGCCATAAAGATTAATGAGTGAACATTTCATTTTCATTTTAACATCATACAACTAACAAGACCTTAGGCTGAATTTTGTGCTTGAATTGCAGTTTGTATTTCTACCTTGTAAATTATATAAAATGTGTTCTGGGTTTATCCTGCTTCAAAATAAGTGAGTTGTAGTATTGTTGTTAGGTACCATCAAGTTGACTGTGACTCATGGCAACCCTATGAGCAGTGGGTCTGAACCTTGCTCTATCCTTTGCCATCCTCATTACCTCTGACACTTGAACCCGTTGTTCCAGTCACTGTGTCAGCCCAGCTTTTAGAGCATCTTCCGCTCTTTTGCATACCTCAGCATGTTGTTCTTTCCCAAGGACTGGTTTCTCCTAACAACATCCACAAAATATCTTATATGAAGCTTATTAGGTATTCTGAAATTTCTCTGAATTCTCAGATTGGCAGACCTCTTCACTTAAAGTCTATTCAGGGAAGTCAATCACAGTTCACTCAAGTCTCTTAATTACAAATGAGCATTCTGTCATTTTTCATGAGCTCCCCAAATTCTGTGCTATAGTTGCCAGGTCTCCTTGTAACTTTTGCAGTTCCAACTTTTCAAATCCTGATTCTTGGGTTTTTAACTTAGAGACAAATTTCTACCTCAAACAGAAGTTTCTTTTTCTGCATTTGTTTAATCTTTGGAATTTTTTTTTCCATTACACCTCCCCAGGAACTTCGCTTTTCTAGCTGGACTGTAGAGGTCAAAATCTAGAAAATAGTTTAGTTAGGTTATCGAATCTATGCCCAAGTATTTTACCACTTTCTCTTTCCTAAGTTTGACTCGAAGAATTTTTTATTTAGACGTATCATTGAGGTGACAATTGAAGGTGACTCCTATTAACTTTACATTGCCCAAAAGAACTTTTTATTTATTTTCCCACTTTTTAAAGCTTTACTGATAATTTATTCTGTATCTTTCTCTTTCTCTTTTTCTCCATAATTCATTCTCCGAGTCATGTAGACCAGTGAATATCTTTGCTTTTAATTCTTTCATTGAAATTATGACACTGTTTTAGAAACAACATCTAGATAATCAGTCTTCCTTCTTTCTCATCCTGAGCTCAGAATATTTCTTAATGGTCTATTGAAGGAATCACACTTCTCTCCCAAAATTATCAGTTCTCCTCACTCCTGCCACCATTATGAATATCTTTTAGCATATAATTTATTTATTTAATTATTTAACACACATTATTTTGCATCCCTGCTCTCAGAAGAATAATGGTTTAATGTCAGAGACAGAAAAAAATGCATAGTGTTAAATGCTGCATGTTGTTGTTAGGTGCCATTAAGTTGACTATGATTCGCAGAGACCCTATGGAACAAGAGCTCTGAACCTCATGCTATCTTGAGCTATCATCATGACCTCTGATATGCTCACACCCATTGTTACAGTCTGTACCAACACTTCTTGTTGAGGATCTTCCTTTCTTTCTCTGACCTTCCAACTTTCCCAACTTGATTTTTTTTTTCTTCCAAAGTCTGGTTCCACTGATAGCATGCCCAAAGTATGAGAACCAAAGTTTCACCATCTTTGCCTCTAAAGAGAACTCTGATTTTACTTTATCCCAGACATGCCTGTTTGCTCTTTTGGCAGTGCATGGGATATTCAGCATTCTTCCCCAGCACAGAGCAAAGGCATCTATACTTCTCTTGTCTTAGTTTTGGTACTTAAGAAGTACCAAAAATGAATCCATCAACAATGAAACATTTCAGGAAGTAGCATACACTCAAGAACCAGTGGTAATAAAGGAAATTCAAGCTGCACCATAGGGCACTAACAAAAAATAAGGACCTGCCAGTTGACAGGAAATGCTACATAGACTTCTAAAACGAAAACCACACACATACATACATTTGAGAGACTGAATGGAAGATGAACTGGGGGTTAAGACCAAGGTGTTACCAGATATGAGTTTAAAGGACAATTTGACAATATCCAGGAAAAGTCTCAGAGTATGGCTCTTGGAAGTAGAAAAAAGTAGTCATGAAAATAGGAGAAGAAATAACACTCTGAAGAACATCCATCTTTGTGTTCTCATTTCATGTGTAGTCCCAAATTTTATATATGTTCAGCTTCAGTAGATGCTGAGCATGTATGACCAAGTTACTCCATTCCTCATTTTCTGTCTACCATAAATGTATATATATCAGCCAGAAGACATGCACAGCATTGCCCGTAGCAGCAGTATTCCTAGTAGCCAGGAAATTATATTTAGTTCAACAAATAAAAAATTTGTGTAATTAAATGAGAATGTCCTAACTAACACTATACATAACAGAAGGATGGATCTTACAGACCTAATAGTGAATGGAAGAAGGTAGATAATGTGTAACACATGCTATATGTTTTCATTTAAATAACATCAGAGAATATGAGTATCATTTGAAAGTTCCACATGATGGTTACTCTCAATTAGGAAGTTATGATGGCTAAAGAGGCTTGTGAGGAGTGGGCGAGCATCAACCCATGTTGTTTCTTGATCTTCCTGCAGATTCCAGAGTATTCACTTTGTAAAAGGTCATCATAATCTTTTTAGTTGTGTACTTTTCCATCAGGTAAATAAAAATCAGCCACTACTTCTGAGGCAGCAAGGCAAGTAAGGACTTAGGTTCTAGAGAATTGCTGGCAGGAAGAGTTGGGTCTTTCAGGACTTGATCCCAGTGGGTAAAATGAAATTAGTTAGTGAAACCTGTGGCAAGAAAAAAAAAAGTAACACAACAGGTCCTAGGAAAATATAGGTCTGCCAGCCAACACCTGGTAACCTCAGGGCATCTCAGAGCTAAGTAGCCATTATCCTACTTGAATGTGCCTGGTATTCTGGCCCCACGCAGTAGAGGAAGAATTGTACAGTCCAGGAGAGTCCTTTGTGTCTGAGTCTAAGCCAATGTGGTGACAAACAAGAAGGAAGAGACTTCCTCCTGGTGCCTTGGCCAAGAATTACAGCCTAAGCAGTGATCATGGAAAGCAATCTTGTGCACCATGTACCTGTTTAATGCCCTGTTGAGGTTCATCTAGTTATAAAGCTTGAGCTCTAGTCAGCTCATAAATTGCTAAGGATGTAGGATATAAAAGCAAATAAAACTGTCTTCCTTTCTTTAGACATTCACTGTAATAACTAGAGAAAATATGTATAGACATAATGTATAGTGCAATATGATCAGTGACATAGTTGATGCATATGGGAATATAATGGCTGCAGCAACTTTGTGCACACCTGGGCCTTGAAGGGAAAGGTTTGCAGGTATTTTAGCTAAGACTTGGCAGAAGGACAAGGCTTTCCAGCAGGAAGAGTACACATTCAGGATTGTGTATGAAAAGGCAGAACAGCGTGAAAAAGCTTTTTAATAATGCCTACTGGATGTATCATGCTTAGACTGAGAAATCTAAATGTAATCCACAGCCTAAAATAAAGCCAAAAAAACCCAGAAAAATATAAACATATCTAACCTAGATTAATTGTTAGATTAATGCCAACAGGTTTGTGGGGTAGGGTTCTTGTGGGTTTTTATAATAAATCTTTTCAATTTTACCTTCTATATTTTTTATCTCCTTTACCTTTGTTCATGCTCACCTTTTTCATATTAGCATCTTTGTGAATAATTCCCTTTAAGATCTAGCACAAGATAGCCATTTTTCAAAAAAGTATCTTTTGATTAATCCAATCCCAATTGCTTTATGTCTTGCTTTGTACGACCTCTACAACACTTGTGTTATTTTGTCATTAATATATATGATATTTAGGTCAGAGCTAGGGGCATTTGTTTATTTGAAAGTGCTACACCCTTCTGCCTAGATTTTAATTATTCTCATACATGGACACCAGCCCCATTTAACCCGCTCCACTGTCCTTACTATCACTACTTTATGCTTAATGCAGTACTTCTAACAAATGGAACAGTTCACCAGTGGCCCTGTAATAATTACAGGAGAATAAATGATTTTCCAGTTTTCTGTAGGGTATAGTGTTCAGGGAACTCTGGTGGTCTACTGGTCAGGAAATGCACTCCGAACCCAAAGGCAGTGCGAGTCTACGAGCTGCTCTGTGAGAGAAGGAGGGACAGTCCGTTCAGTGTAATTTCAGCCTTTACACACTTACTAGAATCAGCTATGAGTAAGTTATGACTTCATAGCATTGAAAAATGAGATATTTCAAAATTTCGATTTTTTCATATATTTATCTTATAAAAAGAATCTTAGTGCAAAGATAGAAAAGTCACACCCCATGGTTAGTCTGTAATTTGAATTTATTATACTTTTTCAAAGTTATTTTTATAAGATAAAGTTATATAGATCATACTTAAAATATCCTTTTTAAACTAAATATTTGTATTTTTTTAAAAGAATTTTAAGTGGTCTATGCCGCTTTATGTACCTCTTGTTGTTCTTACTGTGTGCAGTCGAGTTGGAACTGACCCATATCTGACCCTCCAGCAGGTTTTCTGAGGCAATTAATTACATGGGAGGAAATTGTCCACCTTTCCCCTGCAGAGCGGCTGGTGGATTCACACTAGTATCTTCAGGATTGCAGCATAGTTTAGTAGCCTTTAGAATAAATAGTAGCTTCATTTCCTGGTATGTACCCTTCTGCTCACTAACTTATACATCTCTGTCATGCAGTATGCATACAGACACACCTGGAATGTATTTTTAAAAATTTGCTATTTATACTACTCTAATGGTATTCTTATGTTTCTATTGAGTTATGTTTCAGTTTTGTTAAAGGCACATTTGATAAAATGTATTTCCTCTATGGATAGACACTTGTCTTTTTTTTCTACATATATTACAGTTTTTTTAAAAAAATCAGTTTGCTTACAAAGTTTGTTACATTGTGTTTCACACTCATCTTCATTCACATTGTGTTTCATACAATCTTGTTATATAATAGCCCCTCCCCCCTCCCCGCCCCCCTCGCTTCACACACCTCCACTGCTTGCTGGTTATGTAAAAAGTATAACTGTAGGTACTTTTTCTGCCACAGGGAAAAACTTGTCCTTCGAGACAAGAGGCTTGTGTCATGAGTGATGTAGATTTGATTATGCTTGATCAAGTGGAATCCATCTGAATGCTGGCGAGGAAGGCGTTGACGATTTCATAACAGATCCTTTCTTTTCTTTTTTGTCTCTGGCAGTTACCCGGCTGTATGTGAATTCTTACAGCACAATAACTTGTTATCTATCCTCCGAGCCCATGAAGCCCAAGATGCAGGGTGAGCAGTTTTGTGGGTTTGTGAAAACCATGCTTTACGCTTTGTCTGTACTCTTCACCTTCTCAGGCTCTCGTAGAGGTTTCCCTTTGTAGGCTGTATCCCAGAAGGAATCATACCTTAAAACTCTCTTCTGATGACACAAGTATGGCAGAGTCCTGGAGAGTGAGTAATCTGTAGCTTTGTTTTTTGTAATGATCCTTAAAGTTCATTTGATCCTTAAAGTTCATTTGATCCTTAAAGTTCATTTCTGATTGCACAAATACTTTTCAGCTGATTTTCTTAAGCATTGTAAAGTGCTTCCTCTTTTCTGATCACTGGCTTATGAGTAAATGACCAGCCACTTTTTAATCTGGTTGTCAGTGTGAATGAGAATTTTACATAAATACATAACAGTGATCTTATATTTCAGTTTTACTTTAAAGATTACCAAGTCTCTGTGAATTTTTTTTTAAAAAAAATAGATGTTCATTTTCATTTGTTATTCTTATAAAGCGAATTGGTTGGGACTTTTACAGAGGAGGAAAAATAACAAAAATCTAACAAATAGAGACATAAAATTGAAATATATGGGAAATTTTTGTAATAGAGATCAATTTTAATGGCTTTTTAGAACTAGGGAAATTCAGACACTGACTTTAATGGTACATTAAATCCACATCAGGGATTTGAAATCTGGCATCCTCTTCCAGTGAAGGACATTGTTTACCTTCATGTGCTGAAAACCATCCCCTCATATTCTGGGTTTTCTGAGAAGTTGGGATATTTATGATCTCTACTATCAAAATTGTTAATATTTCTACAGTCTTTCTCCTAAAACAAGACAAATTATAAGATCCCTTTAAAGTTACCTTATTTTAAACAATCAGTTAACAGATGTCAATTGATCTACTACTATGTTTCTTGTTGCAGCTAATATTTGGGGCAACCTAGTAATATGCCCAGCCAATCAAGTCCTCAGATTATATTTCTCTCTTTCTAGACCTGAGATTATATCATGTACTTGGTACAGTGAGCATTTTGAATAAATATTTCTTAATCCCACTATACACTGGAACTCATCTGCTTATTTGGGGCAAAAAAAAATCCATTAATATCAGCAAATATATTTTGTTTAAAAGGATAGTTCATGGATTCATTTGGAAAACTAAAATTATATTAATCTCATTCCTTAGTCTCCCTTTGTTGTCATGCATTTCTAGCCTACACTTCTAGAGTCTTTGTAGTAGGTCTGAGAGTGCTGATTTCTCCAATTGTTTTGTCCTTCAATAAAAGCTCACTAACATATGCAGAAAAAATATTTAAAAATATTTTAAGGTGTGTTTTCTTCTAGGACAACAATGCATTTTAATACTTATAGAATGAGAAAAAAATATCATTAACATTAGAAATGTCAAGGTGACTAGACCTCTGAAAAGGTCCCTCAATGGCACAGGCAGTTTGCTCTTGGCTACTATCTTAACAGTTAATAGTCCACACCTAGCTAGTAGTGCCAGTAAAGAAAGCCCTACCAATCTGCCTCCGTAAATATTATAAACAAGAATATTTTCTGGAGCTCTTCTCCTGTGAAGTTACCATGATTTGGCTTGATTTTGTTTTAATACCTTTACTATCTAGCTAAATAAAGAGTAGTTAGTCTACCAGATATAACTAATAGAAAACACTCCAATGATAAAAATCTCATTTCATTCTTTTTAGGAGTGTCTCTAAGCTAATATTCCTAAAATCTATTACAGAGAAGTGATGAGATATTGTATCACTTAGGAAAAGATAGAAAAGAATTATAGTCTCCTATACCTTATAATTATGTGAGAATGAAAACACTGCATTTTATACCAAGTTGTTGGGTATTTTTTCCCTAAAGTTTTAAACATTTTGTTTCTTCACTGATTGATAAAATATTACCCTGCTGAGACAATAATCTTTGACCTGCAGACAGCAGCAGGGTGGATAATAAATAAAGTTCTGAAACAGAAACCGTGTTCAATTTGTAAAACTCATAGTTTTAACCAGACATTCTTTGAAAAGTAATCACTTTACTCCAAGTAAAACATTTATATATGACCTTACAAAATACTGTAGATTTATAGACTAATTGGCTAGGTTATTAGTGGCAAAGTTCCATGTTTTACTTTGCTCAGTTGGTCTTTTTCTTTTTTTCTGTCAAAAATACTGGCTGACTTTGAAAAATATGGTTGATGAAGAGTATCTGCATGCAATAATTAGCTTCTAGCCTCTTGGTTGAACACATGGAAATGAATTGTGTTTTCTACTAAATTCTAGCCTGCCTTCGATTTAGCTAAGCTTCAGAAAGATACACAGAAATTGCACATTTGATTTTATATTCTAAATTTAACTCCTGAAATGGGCATCTGAGACTTTAGAAGAGAACATTTTGTTTAAGGCTTTCTCACTGAATCTTCTCTTAATTGTAAAACACTATTCTTAAAATTTTCTATTTTTAAATCTATAGTATAGCAACCATCTTTTTGTTGGTGGTGGTGTTTTGTGTCTTTCCTTACTGGTCTTGATTTAACTTTTTTTTTTTAAGGTATCGTATGTACAGGAAAAGCCAAACAACAGGCTTCCCATCTCTAATTACAATTTTTTCAGCACCAAATTACTTAGATGTATACAATAACAAAGGTAAGTACCCTTTTATTTTTTATTCTCACTTGCAGTTTTAGTATGTGCAGTGTCCTTTAGAAGTTTTGTCTTGGTTTTGTTTTACTTATTTATTGTTTAATACAAATCTCTGATTGTCATCAAGCATATAAATTTCATTGCTCAAAAGTCGGGCCTGGTAGTATTAATTTTTTTAAGAAAGAACATTCCTGCTAGTCTAAAGTGCAACATCATTGACAACATGTAACTTTCAGAGAATAATTGGAAGTGGCCCCAAGTCACACTCCTTAACAAAGTTACAAATTTAAATAAAGAAAAAAGAGTCATGGAGTCATTCAAGTGTGGAATAGAATAAGAAAAGTACTGTAACTGGTTGTTATGAAGAACCTGCCATAAGTGCAATCCTGTGCTAGAGTAGGACATGATCATTTCTCTTAAGAATAAAAGGAATATAAATATGCTTCAATATAAGTCTCATTTGGTGCACTTTTCTCTGTTTTCTATGTAGAAGCTATATCTCTGAGGTTAGCTATCTTCCAGGATTATGATCAGAAAGTAATGTTCTGCTCTCAGACTTTGATCTCAGTGTCCTGTGATCTCAAACCTTTATGTTTGAAAAAAGGCCAAGAACCTAGGGCATTATTTTCTAACCATATGGAAATAATGAAGTGTAAAGATTCATTATTTTCTTACATAAAAAAAAATCTTTTATTTAGAAATGCTTTAAAATGTTACAGGTCTGTCAATATGAGCAATTAAATGTGTATATTCTGCTTATTGTTGTGTGCCATTGAATCAGAACAGAAGCTGGTTGACCCTCCTATGGGTTTTCAGGTTCAGTAAATCACATGACCTGTCATTCTCCTGCAGAGCTGCGATAGGCGTGTTTAAACTTCATGTCTTTGCGATTTCAGTGCAGTTTCTTACCACTGGCCACCAGAAAATATGTGGCTTAAAACCATGTACTCTACTTAGCAACATGTCTGGAGTATGGTTTTCTTAGAATAGCAATCAAATAATTTATGTGAGGTCAAAATATAGTCTAGTTTCAAGATTTCTGAAATTGGTAACCTCCTGTGGTGAGAGCTGAGCAATGTCTTTCTATCCTCCTCTTGGTGTCCAGGAGGCCAGAGGTAGGTCTTCACAATCTGTATTTATAAGTCCCACTTAAATGTCCCCAGGCTTCTGGAGTGGGAGGCTGTTGTCTTCATTTTACTGAAGTCTTGCACTTTCTCTGTGGGAGGTAGACCGCCACTTCTTGTTGCCTGATAACCTTCCCTGTACTTCCTACCACGTCCCAAGTCCTTATCTTAGTTCCATCAAAAATCTGGCCCCAAATGGCAAGCCATATATTATTCTAGTGCAACCGTCAATCTCACAGTATTCCCCACCTCCCCTTAGACACAGCTGGTCTGTCCTGCACATAGACTGCTGTGCACTCACTACCACTAGCATTGTGCCAGAGATCGCCACTTGCTCATTGGAATATGTGCTCGCCACTTGATGTCCTAACACCACACTGACTATGATAACCCTCCCCTGTGGCCAAGAAACATCCTTACTAGTAAAGCAGTGCATTTTTTTTACCCTCACAGTAGATTGCAGGGTTAGGGGACAGAATGGTCAAAGAAGAAAATTTGAATGAGATACGATATAGTCCTCACCCTTAAAGAATGGTCAGAGATTGGTTAGATAGAAGACAGTGCTTTTGAAACTTTAAACAGCAAAACTTTTTCCCTCCACCAATTTAAGTGAATCCTTTAGTTCAACAGGAGTCTCATCTTGTACCACAGAGGACCCCTCAAGTTCCTCCAAAGAATACAGTAGCTAAATAGATTGTACTATGTATCCTGCCACTAACAGTGAAAATGAAGTTGGACTTTTATGCCAATATTTGTTCCCATTCATCATAAGTGAAGTAGTTGTGCTTGAGACTATTTATCCTGTCAGATATATGTCGCTTCTTTATCAATAATTCTGATTTCATAGATGTTGTTGTTGTT